GGAAAACTATACACCTTCTATAGTTTATCTTAGCTCAAGTTTTGCTCTACTTGTGTATTTCACCTTGAGTATATTTGTTTTATTTTTGTAGCATAGGGTGGGCAATAATTTCTGATGGGGGGGCACTCCAAGAATTTCGTAAGTGGTTGAGGGCTGCACTCTTCCATTTTATATTAATGGAGGAGGTGTGGGGGTCTGGGATGGAAGTTGGGTACTGAACAGAGCTTGGGGTGAGAGATTGAGGTGTGGGATCTGGGAGGGAGTCTGGATGAAGGAGGGGATTGTGACTTGGGGCAACATACTGAGGTGCAGGTTCTGGGAGGGGAGTGTGACCTGGGGTAAGGGTGTAGGGGTTTGGGGTGTGACCTGGGACAGGAGATTGGTGTGCAGGATCTGAGAGGGATATGGGTGCAGAAGATAGTTCTGGCCTGGGACAGGAGTGCAGGAGGGGGTGCAGGTTTTTGGGTTGTGACCAGGCACAGTGGATTGGGGTGCAAGGTTTGGGAGGGGGGAGTGACCTGAGGAGTATAGGAGGGAGTGCAGTGTCTGGGAAGATGTATGGGGCTGGAGCAGGGGTACAGAAGGTTTGGATTACATGGAGTAGGGCTGTAGGAGGGGGACAGAGGGTTGGGGAGAGGTGCTGGAGCACCAGAGGCAACCTCTGCCTTGGAGAATTTACCTGGGTGGCTCCCAGCCAACAGCCCACCAGTTCCTTAGTCAGGATTCCTGCCTTCCATGCCCCTGCATATGCTCAGAGCAGCTGCAGGAGCCATGTTTGCTGCTGTGAATGCTGTGGGGATGAAGGGTACTTTACATGCTGACAGTCCTGAAAACAGGCAGTTGCTATTAGCCAGAAACCAACCAATAGGAGCTACTGAAGGTGGGGGCAGTATGAGAAGCCTCTTGCCCCCTTCCCCAAGCTCTCAGCATTCAGAGATGCACACATGACCCAGCAGCTGGCTTTCCCGAGTGCTGAGCAGAGGGTGGGACAGGCAGGGACCTGGCTGAGGCTCTTGCGGGCCGGATCTGGCATCTTGGTGGGCTGGATCTGACCCACAGACCATAGTTTTCCCAGCCCTGTTATAGTAGCAAGTTTCCTGGTGTTGCTTGGGTCATTAACTCAATTCACTTCGGAGGAGGGGGAGGAATAAAAGGAAAATGTACATGCTGTATTTAAACAATTGTACAGGTTAAACCTTTCTAGTCTGGCACTCTTTGATCTGGCAATATCTGGCATGGTTTTAGTTAGCCAGATGTCCACTTATGGGTGTGGCCAAGCTTCCCATGGTCCCATAAAGTTTGTTTACAGCCAGTAGTTCTGGTTCTCCGTGTTCTGTGCTGTTATTTAGCTCCAATTTACCCCTAAATGTCTTCTAAGAGCCAATAAGCAATGGAAATATTCTAATGCTGCTAGACAATATTGACCTCCCATAGCTGGGCAAATTTTCTGGTTCGGGACCAGTCAGGTCCTGAGGGTGTCAGACTACAGAGGTTCAACTTGTATTTTTCAAAAATACAATATTTTAATGAAAATGTTTATTTCTGATTCCTTAAAGGGATTGTTTTAAAATTTTCATTTGTTTTTAGAACATTTTTTAAATTTGGCAGGGGGGGGGGGGGGGGGGGGTGATGACAGGCTCAGGGCAGAGGGCTGTGTATGTGTGCATGCAGAGAGATGAGCGGGGGAGGCAAGTGTTCCTCCCCAAGATTCGTACCAGGGTTGCTTGCTCTTCCCCTTCCTGTTCCTGTCAGGAAACAAGAGCAAAGTGTACAGCATGTCTGCCCTCCCCAGACAACATGAAGAATGGAACAAACTGTGCACTTCCCTTTGCTCCCTCATGAAGGTGTATAGCCAGCAATGTCCCTATACAAATCTGGGGGGAGGAGGACATCATCCTCACTGCCCTCTCTAAAGGTGCCTGGTGGGGGGGAAGGTGGGAGGAGGAGGGGCTCAGGCCTGGGGCAGTCCAGGATGGAGCAAAAGGGGTGCTGTGCCAGCCAGCCCTCTCTTTTTTTTTCTGCATGGTTTTATGAGAAGCAATCCCATTCTAGGAACATTCCATTTTCCTGGCACAACCAAACCCTGACCTTGCTTTAAGTTATAATAAGAGGAAGCTGTATACTGAATTTGATGATCCTAGCTCTTACCATTTAGGAGGAGTTCTTGAACAGTCAGACAAACTCTCTCATTCATATATATGTGTATATATACACACTATATACGTGTAATGTGTATATATAGTAAATAATACAACAAATGAGACACAGCAGAAAAATATAAATACAGATTAAACAAACCAGCCCATCATTGGGGCAAGAAATAATGGAATTAAATTGTAACAAGGGAGGTTTAGATTGGAAATTAGGAATAAATTCGGGGTGGTTAATCACTAGAACAAATTGACAAGGAAGGTTGTGGATCTCCATCATTGGAAATCTTTATGAGCAGGTTAGACAAACACCTGTCATTGATTGTCTAGATGGTGTCTGGTGCTGCCAGAAGTTCTGGGGACTGGACTTGATGACTTCGCGAGTCATCTACACTGCACAACTATTTCAAAATAAACTATTCTGGAATAGTTATTCCAAAATAGCTTATTTTGAAATAGCACATCTACACTGCAGGGAAGCCTCAAAATTAGTCTGAGGCAGGCTTTCCTAATGTGAACATGCTAGCTCGATTTAGTGCCCCAGGAGGCACTCAGGAGCAATAAGCCCTACCTTCTTTTTCCTCCCCGGGTTACTTGGGAGCAGGTCACACTCATAGGTGTGCCTGGGCACCTGATGCTTTTAACATAAAAGGAGATCCTGAGCACCCCAGTGGGGATGTTGTTTAGTTGGGGAAACCCTATCCACCCCCTTGCTGCTGTCCCTTGCTCATAAAGAACATATAATGGCAGTGGCTCCACCTGGCTCGCCCTTTACACACTTAATGGTGTGCCTTGGGAGCCTCCAGGAATACAATTATTCCAGCAATAATCTGGATCTAGCTCCAGAACAACAATTACAAATCATAAACTGTATGCCTCTGATAGATTACAGTAGAAAGAATGACCTTTACTTAACAACTTAAAGAAACAGAGTTTAACAGTGAATAACACTAAGAAAGTACACAGAAATAATAGGCACGTATCTATCTGGCATTTGCACTGCCACCGTTTATCATACCCCAGAGTATACACTCCTCAGGACTCACAGTACCATACACTTGCTTGTGTGGGTGCGCTTGAATATTTTGCAGCTGGAGTGGATGATTCTAGTCTCCTTCTGTGTGCTGGGTGCAGAGTAGTGCTTCTAGCCACAGGTATAGCCAAAGGGCAATCAGAAGCAACCTGCTAGATTCCAGTCCCAAAGGCTCTGAATCCAAGTCTGTAGCTACAACAGCTCCTGGATTGGCTAAAACTCCTCCACAGCAGACTGCCTTCTTTTTTCCAAAAACAAAGGGAAGAGTCCACAGACTGCTGAGAGTCTCTGTCCACACACGTGGAGAGACCCAGGCCCCCCAAACATATCAAAACTTCCTTCCTAGTTTCCTCAAGGGCTCATGGGAATTGTAGTCTTTGGGGCTAGAATACAGCAGCACACAGGATCTTCCCAGAAAATAAGCAGAGGCACCTTGAGTAAGGGGACTACACTTAGAATGGCCCGGGTGAGGGGCTATTTTGAAATAGCAGCAGTGGAGCATCTACACATGCCTTATTTCTAAATAGCTATTTTGGAATAGCCATTATTCCTCGCAGAATGAGGTTTACAGATTTCAGAATAAGCCATCTGTTATTCTGAAATTATTTTGAAATAATGAAATGGCTGTGTAGACGCTCACATTATTTTGAAATAACACTAGTTATCTCGAAATAAGAGTGCAGTGTAGACACACCCTTTCAGTCCTATGATTCCATAATTATATAAAAAATAGTTGAAGAAAAATACATAGAGAAATACATTTTCTTACTAGTTTTCTCATTAAAACGTTACATAAACAAGCATATTATGTATGGGACTGGTATGCATATTCTTATAAAAATTGCCCCCTACCTCAGCAGTCTAAGAGGTTCAATATGTCTCTTGTCATGAAGCATAATCTCTTTCCTTTCCATCTGACTAACACATCTTTAAAACTAATTTTCAAATAGAAAAATAATACATTTTGTGTTTTCTTCTTTTACCTCTGGATCTGTATTCAACTAAATGTGATCAGACTGCCAAAAAAAAAATCTCCAGCTTTGTGACGTGGTGTTCTACACCCTTCATGATCACCTCTTGGACACCCTTTGGTTCTACTATTACAAGATTAATTACCCTTTTTAAAAGTGTCACTCAAAACATCAAGACCCAGAGTTTGGGGTGAGACAAAGAAATATGGAAGTAGGATCCTCAGAACTCCTTTAGCAATAAATGTTTTGGACAAGCAAGGCAGTCAAGCTGCTTACTTGATGGAAATATGAACTGTGGTTGGTGGACCACATTGCTGGAAGAAATATTGAAAGTGAGGTATTTTCCTATTCTGTTTGGATAAGCGAACAAGAGTACACCACAATATGGACATGTTAGATGTGTGACACTTCATGCCCAAGAAAAGTGATTTATAAAGAAAGTAGCTATGTAGTGTATAAAAAGGATATAGTTTGGTGGTTATTTGATTCATTATAGGAGAGTTCAAAGGAAGGGCCTAATCCAACATAAAATATTTACCACTTTCAAGCTGAGCAAGCTCCAGCAAATTCAGATACTGGCTTTGCAGCAGGCTGAAAAGCCAGGAAAAAAAACCTCATCCTGTTGAAAAGTATTAGCAGGGAGAAAAGGGAGGGGAGTTATGACAATATGGACAGATTACAATGCACTGTTCTTAGAATAGTTATTTTTTTCAACAACCATGTAGCCTGTAAGTGTCATTCCTAGGGCTAATCTAATACCTGTTCATGATCCTCAAATCACAGTAGCACCATATCCAATTAGCCAAGAAAATTACACATAGTAACCCAAGTCCACGACCTTTCTACCTTTTGCAGAACACCTGGTGTGACTGAAAGATACTGAAGGGATGCATCTTCAGACTGTACATTCATCCAATATCACCCTCATGGACTCAGGTAAATTTCACTCACAGGATTTGAGATGAGATACAGGAGAACTGTAGGTATAGAAAAAGTACAATACATTTCATTCTCTCTATATGTAAAGAGTGTTGTCAAAAAATGAAGCAAGCCCTGCAATGAAAACTGTGCTAAACAATGATATGCCAGTGAAAGAAGGAAGCATGTGTCTAAATTTGAGCATGATCTAGGAAAGAGGACAAACTGGGGTCAGGAGGACTTCTGGGATTCTTCTTCCATTTTGTCACTAACCTGTCTTGTGACTTTGCACAAGTTGCACACTCTCCCTGTATCTGTTTCTCTCTCAGAAAAATAGATTATAGAAATAAGATTATACCTGGCTATTCTGAGGGTAATTTAGTACTCACTTCAGCACTCAAACTCAATATAGTTTTTGCCTTTGATTTAACAGGACAGGATTGGGTCCTTGGTATTTAAAAGCACTGCAAGATCCTTAGATCTAAAAAAGATATTGTGGAAGTGTGACATTGGTTTTTATTAACAATATTTACACTGACATAAATGAAAATATACCCGTTTAAGAATATTCAAATACAGGTTGGATCTCCCTGGCTCAGCACCCTCAGGACCTTACTGGTCTGAATGAGGGATTTTTGCCAAATCAGGGGAGGTCTTCCTGTCCCCCACTGCCACTGGCCCCAGACCTGCTCCTTGCTCCCCTTCTTCCAGCCCTGCTGCTGTGCACTGGGTGCCCCAACTGTAATATAACAGGGGGTTTGGGGTATCGCTGAGAAGGTCAACTCAGGGAGAACTGCTTAGAACCAGGGCTACCTACAGCCCAAGACTGGGGTCCTCATCTGTAAGGCACCAAACCAGTCACACAGAGCACTTTAGCTGCCACTCTAGACAGCAAGAAGTCTCACAAGCATAGACACTCCAGCTTTGTCTGTGCCATAACCAGCACCACACTTTACACAGGTGAGAAGTCATAAAACCAATCTCACCAACTTCAAACAGGTTCTTCTGGTCCCAAAGGATCAACCACAGTCCCAGGTCAATTTATACCTTTGATCTTACCCAAAAGATTACACAGAGCCAATCCTTTAGAAGCTAAAATCAAAAGATTTCATAATAAAAAGGAAAAGGTAAAGAGCAGGACTGTTAAAGAACGCTCATTACATACATCAGTCACCAAGTTCTTGATGCAGGCTCGTAGCAGAGATGTAACACGCTGATAGCTTAAAAGTCTCTGGAATACATCCTGTGTTAGGATGGGTCAACACTCCTTCCTGGTTCTTTATCCTTAGCAAAGGTGCTTCTAGAGTGGAGAGCAAGAGTGAAGATGAAGTTGGAGGCATTCCCAGGATACTTTTATAACCTTTCCATTGTTCTCCTGAGTGGTGGTGCCTCCCAAAATGGAGCTGATCATTTAATCAACAAACCAATCTGTCCTTTTTAGGCATGGAGCCCTGGAGTATCTGGGTATGTCCTTCTCAGGCAAGGGGCCATTGTGTGCTCCTCAGGTGTCAATTGGAAACCCTTAAGAGCCATTGTCCATGCAGCATTCACTGGGCCACCACCCCTTCACAATAGGTGGTCGATGCCTACTGGGGTCTCCAGGGGTGCCATTTCAGATGGAGGGGGGAGAATTAGCCCATGATTCCATTCCAGAACCTATTTAGGCACCTGAAGACTCCTATGTTGTTTTTTTGCAGGTGACAACTTAGAAATTAACTGACAGGAACAGTGTTACATTTTTTCTTTATATAAGAATTAGTAACAAATACTAATTAAAGCCACATTTTAAAGTTTATTTTTAAAATAAGAACAAACATCAAAATCTTTCCAATCCCAAATCTTGTTGTCAGTTTTGGAGCCTTAACACAAGTTTGATACTTTGTGAACTATCTTCAGTAGACATAAATAAAATATGCTTAGCCTTGCAATTATTGTTATACAGTCTTATGGTCCAAATTGTGAAGAGGCGAAAGAGGTAGCCTGCTCCTGCACCCTTCCCCTTGGCCAGACTGTCCTTTTGTTCTGCTTGATGAGTCTTGATGAACCTGCAATTCTTCCACTTCAGTGAGCAAAGTAGAGGAGGGGAGAGGAGCAGTGTTCCTTCTAACATTTTTTATCCTTGGGCCGGTTGAAATTTCTTATGTGTAACACCAATATTGAGGTAGTGTGTGGATGTGCACCAATATAAAAATTTAAATAGTCTATAGGTGTGGAAGAAAATATATTAATACAAGGAATAGTTAATAAGGTGCAGTGCTTACAATATTTAATATGAAATCAAAGAAAAAAGAAAATTAACACTACCTTTGGAAAGCTTCAGCAGGGTAGCCGAGTTAGTCTGTAACTAGAAAAACTTTAAAAACAATGAATAGTCTAGTAGTACCTTAAAGACTAACAAAACATGTAGATGGTATCATGAGCTCTACATATTTTGTTTAAGGCGCTACTAGACAATTCATCTTTTTTTAAGTTTTACTGCCCTTGGAGTACATGTATCATCATCCTTTCTAACAACTCAAGCTAGTAAACACACCAAAATGCATATTATCCACACACACCTCAGCTTTAAGATACTAAACCACTCTGAGTCAACCAGAAATAATATTTGCAAGGAAAGCATGACTAATACAATATTTACTGACACTGGAAAGGAGAATAAAAGTAATTCACTGAGGCTTACACTGTTTCTCTAGGGAATATTTAGAATCCATGCTGCAAAAAGAGATAAAAGTTCTCCAGGTTTGAATTTTTACCTTTGTGTGTTCACACCAACTCAAAGAGTAGGATTCCAAGAACAAATTAACACATGGCTTCAGAGTTCGTAGGCAGATGCATGTTTCAAAGAGCTTGCAAGTAAGGTTTCATTCTACAAAACAACTAGTACCACACCTAGTACAGTACTTGCTACCTTGAACTCATAAGAACCAGAACTCTACGGCTACGTCTATATTGGCAAGCTTTTGCGCAAATACTCAAATAGTCTAATGCAAAAACTCTTGTGTTAAAGAGTAAGAGAGCATCTACACTGGCCTTTGTGCAAAAGATGTGCTTTTGCGCAAGAGCATCCATGCCAGTGTAGATGCTCTCTTGTGCAACAAAGCTCCAATGGCCATTTTAGCCATAGGGCTTTCTTGCGCAAGGAATTGATGTTGCCTGTCTACACTGGGCTCTTGTGCAAGAACAGTTGCGCAAGAGGGCTTATCCCTGAGCGGGAGCATCAGAGTATTTGCACAAGAAGCACTGATTTTATACATTAGAACATCAGTGTTCTTGCGCAAGTACTTGCGGCCAGTGTAGATAGGTGGCAAGATTGTGCACAAAAGCAAATGCTTTTGCGCAAAATCTTGCCAATGTAGACGTAGCCTACCTCTAGCAAAGATATCTTGTCTTATTGCAAAACAATTTACAATGTATTAATTAACACAGGATTTTAAAAAATCATTAAGATCAGAATTTTAGATATCTGCAACACTCCCAAAAATTCTGTTAAAAGAATCTTTTTCTTTCTTACTTTAAGGCTTAAGCCATTAACGTTTATGTAAACTTTGTTTGAAATGTAATCATGCAAATGTCCTCCTAGCACACCCCCATCCCCACACAGCCTTCTTCCCTGCACCCTCCAACCCAGCCAGAGAGGACTACCATCTGGATGCAGTAAGTGAGTTAGGACACCCCAAACAAACTCCCCCCTGCCTCCACTTCACTGCACAGATGCCAGCAGCCACACATCCCCTCTTTCCCCCACCTCTAATCTTTGCTCCCGCAAGCCCAGCCAGAGGCTGGGATAAAATCCTGCTTCTCAGACTTGCAGGCACCAGCAGCCTAAGTGGGAGTTAGATGACATGGAAGCACAAACTCTCCACCCCTCCCCCATCTCATCCCAGGAGACACAAACTTTCCACTTCCACCTCACCCCAGTGCCAGCATCCACCCACTCACCTCCTTTTTCCCCCACCTACCCATGGGTATTACACTAAGCACCTACCTATGTTAGCCTCTTAGAAATAGTTACTACTTGTTCTGTTCCAGATGCGTAGCAAGAGCATTATGCGTCAGGAGGCAAAGGCAAAATTTATGCCCTCCCACCCAATCATTTGTTACTATGTATCTGTTATTTATTTCTAAGTCAGCAAAAAATAAGAACATAAATTAAAAAAAGAACAAATGCCACTGATACTGGGATCAGTTAGTAGATCATAATTACAACAAATATAAATAATAGTTTTTGTGGTTTACATTAATTTGTTAATATCCCGTTCTCATTAGGTTCATGTCTTTTACATAAAAAATGTTAAATGCTTAAAATATGTAAGTTTTATAAAACACAAGAGAAATAAATATTATACAACCTAAATATGAATTTGATCACTATATTTCAATCAAGCATTAAAAATCACTGTTATAGCAAACAAGTAACTTGTTGCTTTAATGAATAAAAGGTAAAAAGATTTTGAGCGTATCAAATTTATTGTAAGCAATCTGTAATGCTTCCTAACTGCCTACTTACTTACCTTGTTAACCTAGTTGTTTTTCATACTATCGCACAGTGATAAACTACATCATAGTTATGAATGTAAGAGATTAATTTACCGATTAAAATAACACTCAGAAAAACTTTTAAATAAAACTAACACACAACACAAGAATCACCCTCACTTTCTTAAAGGCACTTGAAGCAATAAGTAGCCTAAGGCTGAGGTTACACTCTAAGCGTGGTTTTTTGTCTGCCACGAGGACTTTTTCTTTCAGGCTGCTGTGAAATTCTATCCTCAAGTAAAGGAGAGAGGTCTCTCTGAGCTGCTCTTCCAAATTTCACACAAGCCATTCAACCAAAGCCATAGATGTCGATTCAAGGCCAGCCTTGCCGTTGGCAGATTGCCTCACCAGGTGTTCACAATCACAATAGCTGAACACAAATAAGACTTTTAGTTGAGAAAGCCATGTTAATCCCAAGTCTCTGCTATGACTGTGAGATATGGGTGACCTTTGGAAAACAGGAGCATTTTCTTTGGAAAATCTGCAACAAAACGTGTATCGATCACCT